GAATAAATATTTTATTATTTTTAGCCATTTATGCTATTTACAACTCCATTAGTATAAATACATCAACCAAATGTGTACACAGGAATATAATCACATGAAAACGCTTGCTGAGAAACTACCCATTGGTATCACTTTAATAATATCTCTACATAAGGAGATCACGAGTCCATCTTCTTTTCAGAGAACTCGGAGGGTTATTAGGAATCGAAGAGGAAGCAAGGTTAGAAACAGAGGATTTGGATGGCTATGCAGTTTATTATGGAAGGATAGGTATCTGGATTGGGCAAAATCGGAAACATATGAAACTTTAAGGTCTTTATGGATTATTTTATTTGTGACAAAGTAAGGAGAAATGAGGATTTTGAATTGTAAGGATTAGATACGAGAGGAATTTGATGGTTTACTGGAGCTCCATAGCTCAATTCAGTCTTTTGTAATTAATTGAAAGCTTACAGAGTTTGTCTAGTAAGTGCTGAAGTAGTCGGAAAACTACTAAAATATTTAATTTATTAATCTTTAATGAAGTAAAATTTAAATCACGTTTTTGAATTTACTTTAGTTTGAAATCTCTGTTACAATTTAGAAACACTAATCTGATATTGGAGCTAACATCCTCTGAACTCTGAAGTGCAGATTTTTATATAATTTTATTCTGAGTATTTTATTAAATAATGCATGCTTTCACAAATTATAAGACTATTACTGACAACACAACCTTTAAGACCAAATATTGATCATAAATCCTAAATCCATTCAGTCCTCATAAAATCGTTAATAAATACAAGTGTAAATATGTATATAAATTATTAGTTCGTTCTTCATGATTTTTACTACATGTTTTTTGTTTTTCAATTTTTTATTATTGACTGAATAAAATTAGGAATAACTTATATATATATATATATATATATATATATATATATATATATATATATATATATTTACTATTACTATTCAATACGGCGAATGGTAAAGATGGTAGTGAAGGAAGAAATTGGAAAAACACACTTAGGCAAAGTGGAAGGGAAACGCTATGAGTGTTTGAAAGATAATCCAATTCCAGCTGGACTACTGATACAGTTGCCTGCTTCCGCCTGGCCACTGGCCACGACTGTCTGCAGAGTCATCTCTACAAGATAGGGCGTGGCTGAAGATCCTAGTTGTAAATTGTGTCATCAAATTCAGGGCTAATATCAGTTTAAAATAATGATATGACTTTATTATTTCTGATTAATTTACAATAAAACATAAGGAACATCCATTTTCAACAAACCAGAGATGATAGATACACAGAAATGTTTATTTTGTTACATATATGATACTTAATCTTTTTTAACATTACTAAAAAACTTTTGTTTGTTTTTTCGAGATGTTCACCTAATTTATGCCTTGACATAAACAATCTTAGAATTTAATAATTTACCATTATGATATAAGAATATCATAAAGCATAACATAAAGTCACACTTCACATTAGAAGGCCTTTCTTACAAAGAATACATTGACAAGAATTTCTTAATGACTAATACTTTAATCTTCTACCACGTTTACTCCCAATCCCTTCCTGCACATTATGACGAATTCCTAGATTATTTTCACCACAATTTCTACCATATTATTGCCGTATCCGAAACTTGGCTCAAACCTGACCATCTGTTTCCTTACCCGACTATACCCTCTTTCGTGATGATCGGGCGGATCGACCCGGAGGAGGCGTCGGTCTGTTCGTTCATAATAGCTTGATGGCCAAAATTCTTTTAAAATCACCTTCTTCTGATATCCCACACATTGAATACCTATTTTTCCAAGTTTCCTCTAGAACCTTCTCCCTATTCTCCATCGTTATTTACCGCCCTCCTCGTGTCCGATTTGATCCCATATTTGAATCCTCCCTCCTTACACATATCCCTCTGTTTAAAAATGTCATAATTGCAGGCGATCTCAACACCAACCTCCTTACATTCTCTCCAGACAGAACATACCTTATTGACCTGTTTTTCTCCCTAAAGCTATATTGTTAAGTTAATGCATCATTTTGGCAACACTGCCCAGCTGTTAGAAATATAACAGGTTGGCTTGGGTTAAATAACCTTAGTAGTATTCCTTTATTGTTTGTTATTGTGACATGTAGAGAAGAATAAAGTGTTTTTGTGGTGTAAAAGTTTTCATCTAAGCCTCATTTGTTTTCTGAATCTATTTCCTAATATTAAATATATATTGTATATTTATCATCGGTTCCTCTCAAAACCTATTATCCTAAACGCCTATTATCCTTTCTTTTATCCCATGATCTTATTGAAATCTCATACAATGTTATTATTCCTACCATTGTTCCCAAACAAATTTCCTGGAGAGATCTCGACTCCCTAACCATTGAAAACCTCAGGCTTTATTTCGATTCTTTATCAGTTTCCTTAGAACCCATCTAATCCCTTTCTTCCATCAATGACATGATGGAACACCCTTCCTCTAACCTTCTTGATTTCCTTAACCATCACGTTCCCCTTAAAACTCGTACTTTTAGACGTCCTCCTACTCCTTGGATAAATTCAGAAATCAGAGAGATGATGAGAGGAAGAGAAGCTGCCAGAAGACGATACAGACGTGCATGACTATCCCAACACTATACTATATTCAAATCCCTACGCAGTTTCTTGTCGGTTTGGAACAAATCCTCTTCGAATAATGGAATTTTTATGTATTTGGTCTCCCCTTTCAATGGCTGGACGCCATGAGTAAACAGAGTAATAGAAATTTGTTGCTGAGAATAGCATTACAATAGTTTATGACTACAATTTCTCTTCAAATAAGTCACATAATTTTGACCCAGCTCTTGGACTAGTAACATAATTGCTCCAAAATCATAATAAACAATTGTTTGAATAACTGATGTTGATTTATGTATGCTACATATTATGTACCTAAGAATATATAAATAAATCAAAAGAATTACTGACTAGCAAGAAGAACCTTATATTAAAAAATATTTTTCACTGTTTATATTTCATACGAATTTCTTAATTGATGAAGCTATATATATATATATATATATATATATATATATATATATATATAAAAAAACCTGTTTGTACCAAAAATGGTTTGAATTTCCCGCGTTATGGTGAGTGGTGGGGGCAGATCAGAAGATCTTAAAGATAACACTTAATCCTCAAGAACTACTGGTTTCTCGGGCACTTCTCCATTAGCAGCCACTCTGGACACACCACCACCAGCACCTGAGGGCCCTCAAGGTAATGAAAAGATGTAAGCTGGCATAAAGATGGTAAGCTATTTATTGCGCAATCATTATAACCTACCACTCCATTAAGATACAGCCCACTGCATAAAAGTATAATGTTGCCTTATTAAAACTCACAAGAGTTGTTTGCCTTAATTAGAAAAGTTGCCTAAACATAGCCAATATGCCTAAACCATAGCCTTTTGGTTAATAGATAGGATGTTTGCCCTGATTGGACAATGCTTTGTTATAATAAGGCAATAAAACTTTAGATGCTTCAGTTACGTTTTGATTATGGTTAGCAAATAATTTCCCAATAATATAATACTCACAATTAGCCAGTGTCCTGATTGAAAAGAGTTGGAATTTTCAATATTTTAGGAAAGATTTACAACAGACCATTAATTAAGAGAAACTGAAAAAATCCATTATAACATATTTACTAAATATATAAGGTTGTTAAAAATATAGAATACCATCACATACCAGTTTTTCTTTATTGCATTTATTGTAATGTACTGGACTAACAAAATCAAAAAGTAGTTTTTAAAAATTATAAGAACTATACATATAAACGACTAGGTTATTATTGGGTCAAGGAAGCATAAAAATAGAGAGTTATCAACAGTAATCCAACAATACAATGTCAGTAATTCATATAACAGGTTAACTTCGCCAATTATACAAATATAAAGACTGTAGATAAAATTTATGGACAGCACAAAATACTTTAGGTACAAATTATTAGATATTGTACATCTTTAATACTATCTTATTATCATTCTTCCAGTCATATATCCACAAATATACATTTTTAAAAGATAATAATTATTTCATTAATTCAATACATTTCACATAAAAACCTTATATCATGAAGAATGAATCAGAAATAACTAATCACAAAATTAAAATTTAATACATGAATAATTACAAGATATATAAAATAAACATATCAACATATTATAAATATATATATACACAACATTTTATGAGGCATACAAGAATAAAATATTCAGGGTTACTGAATGGAAGAAATAAGTAATATATATAAAATGTTCAAAAAGTTTCCAGATTTCTATAGATATATATATATATATCCCTTTTTTTTATTATTACAACTTTTCAAAGTATGTTTCCACCTTTCAGGTTTAGGAATATTAAATTACTCAAAAACAATAACTTTTCTTTCTTTTTTAACAAACTATCAGGATTATATCTATTTAATATAGATAATAAAATGGATTTACGAATTTACAATACATTTTGTAATAAAAAAAACAGGTAAAATGGGAGGGTAAAGTAATTATGTTTAAAAAAATACTATGGTGACCAAGATTTGTCAAAAATCATAGAAGCAGTTGATGAATCTATACAAAAAATAAAATTCTAGAAATGTTTTGCAAGCATAGGCACTATTTCAAATAGAGACTACTCGAAATGAAAAATTGAGATTTATGATAAATGAACGTTTTTGATATTTGAAATAAATTCATAAAACCTTTTGAACATATTAGTGAAATTATATATGTATAAAAATATACATACACAAACAAACCCATTTCAATATTAAAAGTAATACTTAGGCTGATAATTGAAAATATATTTGGTTAAGTTTCATATCAGTACATACTTATATAATTAAATATATCTCTGATTACTGAAAACGTTACATTGACTAATGTCTTAATGAATAATAATAAAATATAAAATTTACAACAATTTATATATAAGTTGATAAAACATTATTATTTATCAAATGCAACAATAATCAACATGATAAATATAATTTTATCCAACATTTCATATATCAATATTATAAAACATCTATGGCACAATATGCTTTATACAAATCATAAAAAAATACATAAAACTACAATTTGTGAAAAATTGTGCGAGCAATATTTGGTTGTGTAATAACTGAAAGCATAAAATAATCAATAGAAATTAATTACAATAATTTATAAAAACAGGTACATAAAAATTAAGATGAAGTAACGCCTTTCCTAGCCACAAGAAGGTTCAAAATAGGATGTTTTTTAATATAGTCTACTGCTTTCTTGTGAGTTACCATAGTGAAATCATAACCATTACACTGTAAACAAAAATCAGAATAAATTGGAACAGATCAAACAATATTTTCTAAAAAAATTAAGAAGGGTTGAACTCTTAATTTAATGTTCTTAATAGGTTATTATAGTTTGTAACTAATAATCATATGTCCATTGTAGAATGGACCGCTTTATTAATATACAATTTCTGAGATTGCATTTTTTTATATCAATCCCTTTAGAAAAAATTATATTAATTTTCAGAGCTTTTAATGCTATTCATGTTCACATTTTAATTTTATTATGTTATATAAATGCGCTTTTAGTCTAATAACTTTTAATTTTCATGAAAATATAAATGATACCAAATATACATTTATGTTTTTTCCAGTTTTCTTACAGGAGTTCAAAAGTTCAATTCAGAGGTATTTAAGAAGTCATAGATACCATTCATATCACAAATCACTGCTCAAGGGCTTATTGCCCAGAGACAGTACAGATAAATACTAAACTACTTTCAGAGTATGAGACTAGAATGGAATTTTGGCACTGGGTGATAAATAAAATTGAAGGTATGCACAACTTCTATCACAGAAATTGTTTAGTGATGAAGCAATGTTCTGCAGTAATGGAATGTCAAACTGTCACAATTCACATTATTGAGCCTGGCAAAATCCTCGCTGAGTGAGGCAAGGAAACAGGCAGCACTGACGGTCACAAAATACGTGCCATTATCAGAAACCATATCCTCTGGACTTTTTTTTTGGAGGGGGGGAGGGGCGCAGGATTACTTTAAAAGAATGGTCCTATTCCAAGTAGCCTACTTCGCCAGATCAATTACAAGGGAATCTGATTCAACTTTGCCAGAGGGTGAGTCCAGAAATGATTCAAAGAGCATCGTCTTTGATTGGGCAAAAAGATTTACGTCTCGTTAACAATGGTGTGGTGTTAGAACATGTTATGTAAAACTTTTATGTACTTACAAGTAGAGAATAATAAAGGAACTTTTTTTTTTGGTTTCTAACCCATCCTCACATAATTGGTACAAGGCAAAAGATATAATAATTTTAATTTATTTATGTTCAATTGTTATTGAAATAATTAAATATGAAAAAGATCAAATTTATTTTCTTGATTTTAACTAATAGAAATGCAAGTAAAAGTAAAAGAACAAATTACTCAAAAAATCTGAATATAAACATTAAAAATTCTTTATTTATTGGTGAGGTATCTGAAGATTGCTGCTGAAAGTAGTTTCTGGACTTCACTGACTACCTCGGAACTATTTTTAATTGCATCAGTGGAAAAAATATTCCAAAAAATTGTGTTTCAGGTCCATAGACGTCAATTTTCCAGGTGTGGCATTGAAAATAAACAATATTTTGACAGCCATTTTATGGCGGGATATTAGGCAAAGCAAAAAAACTTGGAACTTCCATTCCCAATATGTCAAAATTAGAAGACTATATAGGCTAAATGGCCAAACATTTTTTTAGGCCACATTTTTTTTTTTTTTTTTTTTTTTAAATTTTGTGATTAAATTATCTTACAATTCACGTGGAAAGCAAATGTGTATTTTATGAGTTTTTGATACCTAATTAATTTAATTAAAAAATGCCCCATTTATTAGAATTTCAGTAGATGAAAAATTTATTGGTATAAGCATATTGTCCTCCTAACAGATCCATATCCAATTTCCAGTTCAGTTCTCTCCTTAATCCTTAGGACATTACTTCATCCTGGGTGCAGATTTCAAGAATGGGGTTCAAAAATCACTAACTCTTGTGGTAGAACATTGCTGTCTGCACTCAATTCTCAATGTTTCAGCCTCCTTACTCCCAACTCACCTAACTATTAGCCCACTGGTCCTAACAGCAATCCTGATATCTTCGATTTTTTCCCCCAGTGATTTAGGTCTCCTCAATCACTCCCATACTTGTGGTTCTAGCCTCTGAACAGTTAGTGTGTAACAGTTATACAGCCTTAGTTTAATTAGTAAATTTAGTGGTTTTTACACGGAGATTTGTTGTATAAATTAACCAGACTCATCTATTAAATGTGCTGATTCCACGGGTGAGATTAAATATTTATTTCAACCGGAACTTGTGCCAAAAGGAGCGAGGAAAGTTAGCCAGGATTTTAGTTGGCTTACAGGTACCGTGTTAGACATTTTAGTTGAGATGTGGAGTGGGGAGCGCATATGTTAGATAAGGCCTAGTTCTAGCCTCTATAAGTCAGTAACCCCAGTGTTCAGGTTGAGGTTACGTCAATATTTATCACAACAATTAACATATTTTTTTATACATTTTTCTATATTTTCCATTTTATTTTTGCCAGACAAGATGGTGTCATACCCTATTTGTGGACAGACAGTTACCAGAAAAGACAAAAAAACATTGACATGTCCTATCACTACATGTCAAGCCATTTTTCATGGTAAATGCCTTAACCCGGACGAAGGTGAATTCGAAAAATTAAGGGCATCAAGGAAGAATTGGGCATGCCCGAATTGTGTAAAAGCCCAAAAAAGTACACAATTAAGCGATAAGGGCTCTAGCCCTGCAAGATCAGCTCCTCAGCAACCAACTGCCTCCGTCACAGCTGCTCATGACCGCCATCTGAGACCTAACAGCTGAGGTTAAGGGATTAAAAACAACTCTGGAGAAACAGACTAATATAACCTTTGAAAACGCAGAAAAATTAAATGCAATAGAGACCCGAAATTTGAGGTTGGAAGGAGTAATGATGGAAAATGCGACACTCAGGTCCCGCGTATCGGAGCTTGAAACCAGAATTAACAGGCCCGAGCAAATGCACCTTTCCAGGTCGGTTGAAATAAGGAGAGTTCCGGTGAGGTCCGGGGGGATGCCTATGGGCCTGGGCTTAAATTTAAAGCCGGAAGATGTCGACTGCGCGGAGCGGATGAGATCGAGGCAGGATGATACACCCAGGCTACTGGTGAGATTCGTCAGACAGATGCTCAGAAACGAGTTGGTCCAAAGGCGGAAGGTTATACGGGACTTCTCAACTCGACACCTTGGATGGCAGGAAAATGATGCTCACAAAGTATATGTAAGCGACGCAATGTCCGTAACCAACCGACATCTATATTGGTTAGCCCGACTGAAGAGATCTGCGGGGAAGATCAGATACGTCTGGTTCAACGCGGGCAAAGTGTAATGTCGACGTGATGACGGCCAGAAGGTTGTCGTGATCAACTCGCCAACGGACTTGGACATATTCGCATGACTTGCACTCACATGTTCAATTGCTCTGCTCACTTTACTTTTCATTTCTGTTTTTGCACATTTCGATTTTTATTTTATTTTCGTTTATAAGAACAGACTATGTTCCATAGTTTTAGACATTTTAATGTACTTAAATACGTTTTATTCCGATGTAGAGGTACATCTTTCGTTTACTGAATTGTATATCTCCAACTTTTCAACATTAATAATACCTGGAAAATTACTATTCTTTATTTTCTGTTTTTGTTTAGCATCATTTATTATTACATGATTCTTCGCAATGGAGGTGTCATCAACAATTATGTACTCTGGGCTCATACTAGCTCCAACCACTATAAAAATATTCCTACCTCTAGCACTTCCAATCTGTTAACCAAGCCACCCCTCCTTCTAATATCCTTTTAACCTGCCACGTCAACGCTCAGTCAATCCTAGCCCCTTTTGATGAATTTTATGATTTTTTCCTCCACAACTTCTACCATTTAATTGCAGTTTCTGAAACCTGGTTAAAGCCATCTATTACGACTTCCCAAATTACTTTACCCAATTATACCCTCCTTCCTCATGACAGAGAGGATCGTACAGGTGGTGGAGTGGGCATCTTTGTCCATGACAGCCTTAAATTCAAAATCCTACAGTGCTCTTCCCATACCGATTCTCCGCACCTGGAATATATTTTTACTGAAATCCTCACCCCACCATCTCCCCTTCTCTTTGCAGTCATTTATCGTCCTCCAAAAATTCCGTTTGATGAATCATTTGAGACTTCCCTTTATAACTTGATCCCTTCCTACTCCAATATTATCCTCACCGGAGAATTCAATACCAATTTAATGATACCATCTTCTGACCATTCCTACCTGACAGGCCTCCTCGAATCACTCAGCCTTTATATAGTACCCTACAACCCTACCCATCATACCCAGTTCTCAGAGTCCTGGCTTGATTTGTTTGTCTTGGATTCCCTGGATAAACTCTTGTCGGCATCTGAGCACCCGGTCTCATTTTTTTCTCCTCAAACCATATCCTTCCGAAACCTCAACTCCCTCACCTATGAAGCCCTGTCGTAGGATCTCGATGCTTCCCAGTGGGACCCCATTTATTCCTGTAAATCCATTGACGCCATGGTAGAAATCCTTACCAACCATCTTCATACCATCCTCGACTGCCATGCTCCTCTTCTAACTAAAACCATCCGACATTCCCCTGTTCCTTGGCTGACACCCGCTTTAAGAGTGTGCATGAGAAGAAAAGATGCGGCAAGACGAAGGTTTAAACGTACCCAACTCTCGGAAGACTATATCGCCTTCAAGCAACTACGAAACAGCACTCAGTCTGCTATACGCAGAGCCAAATCCCGTTACTTCCATCATTCCTTACCCAATACCCCAAACTCCAAGGCCAAGTGGGCTATCCTAAAAAAACTGACCAATTGCAACACACCTCAAATACAGCTCGTCTCCTTTTCTGCTGATGACCTTAACGCTCACTTTGTCTCCTGTCCCTTCTTATCCTCATCTCCCGCGGCTATGACGACTCCTGTGTGTTTCCCTATAAATTTTAATCCTGATCAATTCTTTTTTTCCCATATTACACCTGATGACCTCCTCAACTCCATTCAAAAGTCGCAAACCAATGATTATGGACCTGATAACATCCCAGTCAGACTGATCAAAGCCTCACTACCATCCATCCTTCCAATCCTCTACCATATCTACAATTACTCACTACAAAATGCTACCTTTCCAACATCCTGGAAAACCGCACTAGTTCGCCCTATGAAAAAGACTTCCAAC